GCGATAGGTCCTGCAAAATCTACTCCTGTAGTCTCAAAGGGTCTGCTGGCTTCCATGCGGAACTGTGGCATGTCTGCTGTTGCTGTAGCTCCATAAGGTTTCGTGCTGAAAACCTTGCAAACGTTGCACGTGTTGACCATTTTCTTCACTTTCGATCTTAGTTTTGGAATCCACCATTCTTTTCTTATTTCTGCCATAGTGTTGGCCACTCCCAAATGTTTGATCTTTAAGTGAAGATGTTGGATTAACTTCTGTGTAAAAAGACAATCTTCGAGGTAAGTTAGTCTGTAACCAGGAATCCTTCCAACGCACTTAAGTACGCCGTTTCTTTATCTTCTACCAACCTCCACCCTGGTGTCTCTGTCTCTTGCGGAATTCTTTTCTGCACAACGCCCCTTTCCGCTTTTCCTCATCTGTTTCTTTGTCAACGTGTTATCTTTGAATGTTATGGTCCAGGCACTGATTCTCAGTACAGTCCAGTACGGTTTGCCTTTCAACAACTGATCCCACTCGTAAGGCTTGTGTTCCCAGCGCTCGCTACGACCTCTTTCAGTGGCTTTTCTTCCTCGCTTGCCCCCGTTAAACGCGCTATTGTTGGTTGTTCTGGCCATTTTTCTTCGTGCTCTAACCACCCGGGTCCAGTGAACCAAACACCTTCCTCCATCTTGTCCACCGACGCGCCTCTACTTCTTAGGTCGGCTATGTTCTTGTCTGTTGGGCAATATTTCCAAGACATATTGAGCTTCTCTGTTACTGTTGCTATCTTCCGGACTCGATTTGCCACAAACACCTTCCAATTATTTCCAGGATTCATCAGCCAATAGGGTGCCACTATACTGTCCATCCATATGGTGACGGAAACAACGAGCCACCTAGTTAGAGCGTGTCGTACGTTATTGGCCATGTTTTCTGCCATGTGTCCTCTCACCAGCTCTAGTCTGGGCATCGTAGCATTTATCTTGGAGATTCTTGACTTTGAGGTCACTACTCCTTGTACTGTGCCAGTATCTTACTTAACTAGGGCTATTGTTACTGCAGAACAGGCCAGGCTGCTTGTGTCGGCAAAAAGGTGGAGATCAATAGATTTGACTTCATTACACTGTCTAACAAGGCTTCTAGGGACCTTTACACTTCAGAGTTGAGCTATCAACTTCAACCAGGCTTTCCCTAGCTTTTCAGACACCACTGCATTCCATCCCAATTTCTCATCACAAGCCTCCCCGTAGATGCGTTTTCCCTGAGCCATGGTAGGGGATAGGATGCCTAGCGGAACATACTCTTTTCCAAGGTGACTAAGGATGGTTTTCTTTGTGTTTTCTTTCGTTACTGAATGGCGGAATCTTGATTTCTTAAGTGTCGTCTTCCTTATCCCAAACCTGCCCTAGTATTTTGCTGGGGTTTGGCATGTTCTTATCTTCCAACTCTGTTAAGTTTGACTCCCACTTGTGCACTTTGAACTTGGCATCTTCTAGTATGTGAGTAGTCTCTTCTTTAAACTTCCTCATTTCCTCAATCTGTCCTCCTGTCTTCATAAGGTTGTCTACGTAAGTGTTAGTTCTCAACTCTTCTACCGTCTCCGCAAAATTTTCCAGCTGTTGGTCAATGTGGTATCGCAGAGTGGCTCTAAAATGAAAGGACTGGCTTCTGCACCGAATGGCACCCTTGCAAATCGCAGATGCTCCTTTTTTCCGTGTAGGGTGAAAGAAACCGGAAAGCGTCCCTGTCTTCCTCCTTTATTACAATTTGTAGGAATTCTTTCTTGATATCTCCCAAGGTTCTCAGACATCCTTGATCTAATCATTCTTTCCCACAGAAGGGGTTCGAGGGATGGGCCAGTGTTCATGCATTCATGCTTGCAGCTAGGGAATGAGGTTTGGCACTGGCATCAAACACCATTCTGACTTTGGTTGTGACAGCTTCTGTTCGAACGACAGCCTTATGTGGCAAATAGAATACTCGTTTCCCCGTTGGTTTGATTGGGATTCTTTCAACTACCCCTTCTTCTAGCTCTTCTTCAATTATATGCGTGTACTCAGCCTTTAACTGTTCCTTTTGTCTTAGTTTCATATCCATGTTCCGTAAGCGTTTCCGGCTTTGTTCTTCATTGGTTCCATCTAGTTTTGCCTCCGGTATCCAAGGAATGTTTACCTCGTACCTTCCCTTGTGCTTCCTTCCTATGCTCTCTTTGAACTCCGTGTAGACATCAAGCTCGTCATCCTCACCTCTGTCCCTGACCCACAAGACGTCCAGGCTGTAAAGCCGCTTATAGTCGCTTGTATCTCTGCTGAAGAAGCTCTGGCTATCTGAGTCGTTCCCACCATGGATTACCCAGCCAAAGGTCGTTCCTTCCACAATTGGCTCTCCCGGCTGTCCCTTGTATACTTCTTCGGTTCTTATTCGACAATAGTTACTGTCTCCCAAAATCACGTGTATAGGGTACTTGTCGTCAATCTGTTTCTAGAACCTGTTGTTTTTAGTATGCTGGTACTGCTCCTTTAACTTGTTTATATCCGGTCTTCGTACGGTTGTGAAGTCTCGCAACTTCGTTCCAGTTACCTGAATCTTCTCACTCGCTTTTCCATCCAGTGACTCAATTAAGAGGTTAAAGATAGGCATAGATTGTCTCTTTGAGCCGTTTACGGTGGGAATCTCTCTTACCTCGTGACGTTCAGCCTTGAGATTTAACCTTTTGGCCGCTTCGCTTGTAATAAAATTCCCCCCATTTCCAGTGTCCAGTTATGCCCAAAAAGCTTCTCCTTTTATCTTTATAGGAATTATGGCTGGTATGGACCATTCATCGGCTGAAGGAGAATAGCTTGTTAAGACAGTTCCATTGTCTCACCGGGTGGTCTATTCTTATCCTTGTCACAAAAACTTGTATGATGCTTTGACTTGCACTTGAAACATTCTCGGCTTTGACATTGTTTCCCCTAGTGTCCTGCGCGGCCACATTTGAAACAAAATTTCTTTTCTTGGAAGAACTGTCTTCTTGCTTCTATTGTGTTAACGACTTCGCATGCGTCTCCCCAATGCTTTTCCTCACAAAAGATACAGACCGGGTCTCCCTTTTCCTTATTATACCAATGCTTCTCTCTTTTCGGTCGTACACCTCCACTGTCTCTGGGTGCATTATCTACTTTGTGCCTTTTCAACCACTGCCGAAGGTTGTTTATCAAGACCTCCATATCTCAGTTCTCCCAATTTTCGTCGGTGCGCACAATATCTGTCCTCAGCTGCGGTATTTTGTCAAGAGTGGACATCACGAATTCCCCTAAGCATGTCGGCCTCGCCCATTGTCAGCAAAGCATCGTAATTTCTGCTCACACTCTCGTAAAATTCCTGAATCTTCAAGTAATTGGATCTGTTGACGACAGGGAGGTTCACTATTTCTTCTACGTGCGCTCTTCTTGTGCGTTCACACCAAATTTGCTCTAGCCATACTCAGATTTCAGTCTTTTGTAGCCAGTTTCACCAGGCTTTAGGTTTGCTATCTTTGCTCGTACGTTTGGATTAACCATTTCCAACAGATAGCCGAATTTCTCTTCTGCGCTGATCGATGTGTTGCGGACTTGTGTGATAAACATGTTCTCGAATCTAACCCAGTCGGTGGGCGTTCCTTTGAAAGGTGTTATCATCAATTTGGGCTGTTTTGCTGTGGTTGAACGGGCTTCTTTCTCCAGCTCTAGCCGTTGATGCGTCACCTGTAATTCTGCATCAATTTTCTCCTCCCACGTACGTTGTTCGTGCTCTTCTTGTCGCAAACCTAACTCAGTTAAACGGCGCTCCTCTTCTTGCTGCTGTTCTTGTTTGGCTTCCAATCGTTTCCTTTCCATTTCCTCGTCTTTTTCCTCTCGTCTGTTATTTAAGAACCTCGCAAGCTCTTCTTTGTCCACAAGAAATGTGGAATACTTGGCCTTCACGTCCTTCTTCCATTGTCTCACCGATCGAGGAGATACACCACGATCTATTTTTAATTCCTCTACTTGCGAAATAAGATTCGATAACGTGCCCACGATTTTCTCTGCTCGTCTGTTGGCAATATTCATTTCTGTGTAATCCCTTAGCTTAATTAGCTCGTCCGTTTCGACCAGAAAGGACTTGAGTTTGTGTATTTCCTTGTCTATTTCTTTTTCTAGTTTTTGTTCGTCCTCACAGATGTGCCGCGTGTCTGCGCTTTCCTCGCCGTCGCTCATGTTTTCGAATTCCTTTACTCGTTGTGCAATAACCAGTAGAAGTCCGCAGTATCCTGGTCTCGACACCACTTTGTACCGAACTTGTGGAGCACAAAATAGCTCGCTTAAATCGTAAATCCTTCTTTTATTTAAATCATCATCCGCTCGTACATTTTCCTCTCCGACCAATCTCAACAAAAGGTAATTTTGCACTACTCTCTGTGTCAGCTACTCCGATTTCAAATGTCAATCAAAAAAGGATAACACTGATGCGATACTAAAAGAGTCCGGTTTAATCCGGTTTAAATGAATGTCACGACATTTCCAGTCACGTTCCGGTAAGCAGTATAATGCAGTTCTTTCGAGTTTCAATCGCTGAGTTCCGTGTCTCCAAACACGTTTGCTTTATAAAGCCTTAATTTTTTTTTTATCACTTTCCAATTGAGTATCGAATAAGGTATATTTTTTTATAAGGGTGTTTGCCAAACCGAACATTTTGATCATGAGCGGTCATTCTACAAACAGGGGTCTGAAATCCATACGTCTTGACAATTACATTTCGTTGAGGCCACCGAGGCGCTATTCCTCACAGATGTTTAGCAGAACCGGTCGCAACATTCAGTTTAAGACAAAAAAGGCCAGTTAGCCAAATTAACAGGTCATTTTCTGTATTACATTGCTTTAAAGAGCTTTTTGTTTCCTTTATCGCTATTCTCCAATCTCTGGGCACCTAGCTACTTTAATTGTCTAACGAAATTTCTTTCAATTTTCAAGGACTACTTTTATTGTATTAACGTTATTGTTTTTAACTTTAGACTGATCTACAGTATGAAACTGGTTTTCGTTATTTTCTTAATTTGGTGCTGTGATGCCGACTTACCCAAGCAAGTACGTGTAGGCGTCCTGGTGCCAATAACACCAAGATTGAATGGTGGATTTAGTGTAGGAGAAGGCATTAGAGCAGCTGTTAAAGCCGCCTTTGACGATATTAACAAAGATAGCACTATACTGTCTGGTCTGAATTTGACGTATGTGATTCAGGACAGTGGATGCAACTCAGTGAAAGCTGCGGGGATCGCTGCTGACCTCATGCACTCCCAAGCTTCCATAGATGCCTATATTGGTCCCGGATGTTCAAGAGCATGTATTTCAGCTGGACTTCTTGCACAGTACTGGAATAAACCAATAATATCCTTCTCTTGCTCGTCATCTGAGCTAGAGGATAGAGAAAAGTACTCAACATTTGCCAGAACTCAACCATTTAGCCGGACGTACTCGCAAATTACACCATCGCTTCTACTAACAATCATGCTACACTTTCAGTGGAAAAGAGCAGCCATACTTGCTACAGACGACTCTTCGACAAAGATTTGGACCCCAGTTGCCTTTGAGTTAAAGAACGTTTTTAAAGAAAACAACGTAACCGTTTCTTATTTCAATGTATATAAATTGACCGGAGATATAACAGCTCAACGTAGACAGGCAGAGATTGAGATGGTACTGCAAGAGACCGCGGAGAATGCTCGAGGTAATCCTTATTTGTAGTGTTAAGAACCTCTAAAGATTAAAAAAGTAAGGCGGTTACACTTGCAAGATTCAAAGAGGCTTCAACGGCTTTTTTTTAAAGACAAAAAATGCGATATTCCAGGTAGATGGCTTTAAGATAGGCACAGGAGAATGATATGCTAAGATGTGTAACGATATAGATCCAAACTAGCCAGGCTATTAGGTGCTTCCTTGAGTCATTACACGGGCTTGATCAATAGTGAAATTGAACGCCGAGCTGGTTGTGCTTGTTAATGCACGCAACAAGGTTTTGCACTTTGCATCAAGCATCTAAGGAAATACAAAAAAATGGTTTAACCTTCAAAAGGAGCCCCACAATTTCCTAATTTTGACTCACAGCCCGTTACATGGCTAAGAATATATTCACCTTGCCTTCTTTGACGGATCGGTGTTCACTGTGAAGTTAACTTCCAGTTAGAACAAGAAAAAGTTTATGCCCTATGCACTTTGGGTAATAACAGCTTCTCAGAAGGTTCTTAAAATCAAATTTACAGTGACCGCCACTGTAGCCTAGTTTTAAATTTAATAACTTGTTTTTTTTTTTATTCCGTTTGTTGTAGTTGTCTTCATTTTGGGCTCCATAAGTGAAGTGATGCGCCATTTGATGGTAGCTAGGACGCTTGAAATGTTAAACGGCAACTACGCGTTTATCACTTTAGACTTTTTTGTCTCAGAATATCTAGCGACGTCTTTAGCAAACCAGTCACCGTCATTGAATAGGAATGAAACGCTGGAGTCATTTGAAGGATTAATAACTTTGTCTGTCAAGAAGCCAAGATCCGATGAGCTACATAATCTGACAAAATGGCTGAATAATGGACTAAAGAAAATTCCAGAATACCAAAGTCACTCCGCTTCTTCAAGGGTAAACAGAACGTTATTTTAAAAATATATATCTCCCTGGATTTATGACAACCGGATTAGCAAACATTTTGTAATTTCCCTCAACTTCCCCTGTCTCAGCTTTTTTACTGTGTTCCTTGCTTATGTACTTTTTCCTTGGTTGTTTTCTTGTTAGAGATTTGTATAGAAGTGGCTGTAGACAGAATTTCGCGAATTTTTGTCACCCCAACCCCCCCCCCCCCCCCACCCATGTCTATGTGTCAATCAGTTTGTTACCTGTTCCCTGCGAAATTCTGTCGTTTATCGCCCAGCGAAAAAGGTAGTGTCTTCCTAGCTATAACCAGGCACTCTTTGACTGCCGTTTCCTCAACTTCAAAATTTCCAGACTGAAATGACATCGGTTTGAGACTTCCCGGCGTCAGATTACTGCGTCATTTTCAATTTGGACTCCTTGAAATACTTCTAGGGAACACTAACTTACTGCCCGACGTCAGATAAAGGCTTTTAATTGGCGTTTGAATGACTTTTTATTGTTTTAAATTACCAAGTAGCAGAATGAGTTGATTTCTTTGCTAACCCGGTTTTAAAAATCCAGGTATTTACATATTAAGTTGAAAACCCCTTTCATGGTAAATTAATCAGTGGCAAAGACAGTTCGTTTGAATCTGAATCTAATGCAGTTTAGCCTTTGTAACTTTTTCAAAAAGTAAATCCCTGAAACAAATTTAACACTTAGGCTCCGCATTATAAAATCGAACCAAATAAAAGTTAAGGATTGGTCATTAATGTTAATTTAATTCAATTTATATTCCTTGTGATAGAATTTGGTAGTTCGCAGGTATGAAAAGCATAAAAATAACGTAACTCTACTTTTTCCAAAACTTACTGCCTTGAGTTTTAGTTACATTTCTGAACACCACTTGAGTCAGACTATTTTGAAAGGGTGGCCGTTCAGGTCAACTTACTCAGAAAGTAAACTCCTTTCTCAAACTTATCTTGGTATTATGATTATTATTATCGTTATCATTATCATTGTCACAGTCGCTGTCACTGTCCTTGTCATTATCATTATCATTATCATTATCATTATCGTCATCATTATCATTATTATTGTCTTATCATTATCATTATCATTGCCATTGTCATTACCATATTGCAATTATCGCTGTCATTTTCATTATCTTTGTCATTGTCTTTGTCATTGTTATTGGTATTGTCATTATAATTCTCATTACCATTATCATCATCATCATTTACTATTATCATTACTATTACTAACAATATTGATCCTGATAATATACCACAGATATTTCCTTATTTTGATTTTTTCCTTCCGAGGAAACAGGCAGCCAAGACCGCGCCTTACCTTTATGACGCTGTATGGCTCTATGCACATGCACTGAACCGTACTATCACTGATGGCAAAAACAAATCAAACGGTACAGAAATCTTGAGAAATGTCATGACGACTAAACCATTGTTCACTGGTAAATATTGCTTGACCCTTTACCACTACACGTGTCTTTTAGTAATTCCGATTAATTGTACTGTAAAAGTAGCCACCAGCCGTTACCAGAACAAGTGGTTCCTATCTCATGGGTCAATTTCAATAACCTGAAAGTATCATTCACTTTTGCAGGGATGTCAGGACCTGTCATGATAGATAAGAGAGGAAATCGAGTGCCGGCTTTCGTATTTGAAAATATTCAAAGCAGTTCAAATTTACCCTTTTTGGAGCTTAACGTTAACGGAACTGAGGTCAAGCAGTACACAGCAAAGGTCGTTTGGCCGGGGGGCTCGACCAGAATTCCTGATGATGAGCCGAAGTGTTTGTTTGATCCCTGTAAAGGTAACAAGATAATATACACGTAAATGCTAGGAGCCCTTAGAACTTTTGAAACTCTTGTATGGGAGTTCCCTGAAAAGAATCTCAAAGTCCTTAAATGGGCCAAAACACCCAGTTGTCTCTGATATTAAACAGCTTGCAGTAGTTTTAAAAGTAGCTTTGTTATGCTTTAGAGGCAACCCTTCCCTGGAGTGACACAAAGAAACATTATATGGAAATCTGTCCGTTAACTAACTCTTCAAGTTCGGCGATCGAAAACAAATAAATGGAAGAGGCTCTTCAACGATGGCAGCGATGAAAGCGATCTTTGTGACGCTGTTCGCTGAGGTCTAGAATAAAATTCTATATTAAGGCTGGTTTCCGAATAATGTTTGCGATGGCCTGAATCGTTCAGATCCCTGGAGTTTTCTCAGCGATCGCAACGCTTTTCTTGATAACCAAAGGAATTATGAGGCTCTCATTTGACTTTTGCGTGGAGGTTTTAGCGGGTAAGAATTTGTCAGTGGTGAAATTTTAATTCACACGGATGAAATATTACAGTTTTAACGAAACGAAATTTTGTTTACTGGCCAAACAAACTAATTTGTCTGAAAATGTGAATTTTTGCTTAACCGACACAATCTCGCATCGATATATTAAACGTCGTCTTCTGCAAACTTAGTGTTTTGGTTATTCGGTCTACACATCTGGCACGATAAATTTTGCCGTCACTAGAAATTTGGCCACGCCTGTTCATCAGAAACTCATAGTTTGTGTATTTTTCACTGAAATTTGCTTATTTCGCCGAATTTTGGTGAGGTTTGCTAACTTCACTTTTAGCTACTTCTGCAAAGTAGTGTGGTGTAACTTGGGAAGAGAATATAGAACCTTTTCTTACCTCAACCTAACCCCTATCGATGACATTAAAGAAAAAATTATGTCAAAAACGAGAGCAAGTGCTTCATCACGGGTTCGAGACACCGAGAAACAGATGAAAGCACGAGGCCGTAGTTATTCCTAGTAAACATGTGAAAGTACTGATTTCTCTTACACTACTTCTTCTGTCGATAGACCGTATAGGCGAATCTTTGTTTACAGTTTTTGCCTCATTAACATACGCGTTTCATTCCCTAATCAACTTATTAAGAAAACTCTGAATATTGAAAGAACATTAACAATTTCAGTTATCTCTGGAAATTAGAGCCCGGTATACCAAATAGTTTCGGAGAAATTCTCTTCCAAATGCTTAAAAGTTTTCAAAAAATGAATATGACCTCCTTAGCGTCTTCGCCACCCAGCAATTTCGCAATTCTTGATTGCTGCTATTTCCTTTAGTATTCAATGCAAAGAGCTGTAAATTGTACAAACTGCTCAAATTAACCAGCAATTTCAACTTTCGAACCCAATTTGTTAAAAAGGACGACATCTTCTACGGGTTAACTCATATGTTAATGAGCAAAAATGTAAACAATTATGTCAACAAAGATTTGTCGACGCGAAACTTCGTTCTAATGAAACGAAATTTCGCAACGAAATTTCGCCTCATGCAGAGAAATTTCGCTTCGATTAATCACCTTGCTGGCGAAATTTCGCTGCTTTTTCGTCTGAAGCGAAAGTTCGCAATTTGATTGCCGAAATTCGCGTAATTTCGCTTATTTCGGCAAATTTCGTTTGCATTTCTTTTGCACAGTACTGTATATACCGTTAATTACCTAAACAAAGTTAATAATTATAGGACTATCTCAGTATAAATGGACGAATTTTGTATCGTCAATGTAAAACAGCTGGATTTCCTATACCGGGTACGAATCTAACAGCTCGTAGCCTGTGGACATCCGCTTACTCACTTATAGACATCTCTTTCCCATATTTTTATTTTAAGAGGCAGTGGCGGTGTACACATTTAAGTACGTGATAGGTGACCATTCGATATTATTCGCTTCCAAGGGATTCTAAAAAGCCCCAGGGCACAAGGCGGTATTAGCTTGGAAGTATAGGGATTAGAAACATTTTGTCACCCACCAAAGAACAATGACCAGCCAATCTTTCTTCAAACGGCCTAAAAGAGGTTTAAATACTATTTAATTCTTTATATCTTTTCAAGAAATGGAGTTGGATAGCTGGCGCCTAATTGTTGTCGCAGTTCTCTCTCCGCTTGCTGTTATTTTATCTCTCTTGGCGCTCTATCTGTACAGGTATCGATTTAAAATGTTTCATTCTTTAATAAAATGTGATGAAGTATTTTTGATTTCAAAAATTCCGTTGACTTTTCCTGGGTTCCTTTAGGCGCAAGAAATACGAGAAGGATCTTTTTAACAATGCTTGGATCATAGACTTCAGTGAAATTATACCATTATCAGTGGGTAACGGGTTTGCTAGCAAGGTAAGTAAACTGAATACTGAAATAGTCTAACAAGAAATTGGTAAGAGCAAGTATCGAGCCTCAAATCATTTGCAAGTCTGATCTCAGGAGCGGACAGTTTTGTAATCATTGCCACAGATACAGATTTGTAATTAAATAGGGGACCCGCTCATCAAGACCCAAGATAAGATGGTCACAAAGCCTCGAAAATAATTTTTCCTGGTCAATCTGTGCGGCCTCAGTTTGGCCTATTGGGCCCTCCGAGCCCCACTGCCCCTCCTCTACATCCCCCACTTGATATTGCATTTGGCCTCCAAGGCCTTCTAGGTTTTGATACGTTTAAAGACGTAGGTAACCGTTTTGCATAATAAGTTGTGACAACGATGTTTCTTATTCCTTGTTCTTCGGTATGTTGCAGGTTGCTAAAAGCTTTTCGTGCGTTTCCCAAAATTCTGCCCAAACTGAATGGACTGCGGGGAAACAAGCAACACCACTCGTCGGTCGATACAGGGTAAAGCCTTACAGCTTTTTACAACATTTCCTTTATAATATCATGCAATCATTTAAAGAAAAAAATTAAGACTGAAAAATTCTTTTTGAGATTGAAGTTTAAGTTTGATACCTAAAAAGTGGAAGTAAAGGAGTGAGGAATTAGTCCTTTGAGGTCTTTTCTTTTCTTCCTTGTATTGTTTGATCATTTCATTACTGTTCTTATCATATATATGTTACTATTATTGTTATTTTCGAATTGTTGTTATTATTACTATTATTGTTATTTTCAAATTGTTGTTATTATTATTATATTATTATTATTATTATTATTATTATTATTATTATTATTATTATTATTATCATTACGAGGAAACAGGCTGGTTAAAGTACTTCGACTAGAAACTGTCACAGTCTCTTTTTACAAAAGATCATGTTTCCAGAAATGGCACGCTCAGTGTGTTCTACGGTAGGTATAAATTCCCCCAAAGAAAAACTTGTTAAAACGGACAGCAAAGAAACAACGCCGCAAGCATCCGTGTTACATCGGCTTCTGTATGACAGTGTGTGAGGTCTGAAACATCCAGGAACAAAATAGCTGTCCGTAATAGTACGCTGTCTGTAAGTTGTCGATGCGAAGAGATTATAATGTAAAGTATTTTTTTGTCTTTTTATAGGGAGACCTGATAGCTATCAAACGTTTGCACAAGAATTTTGTCAAATTATCTCGTGACATTTTAATAGAGCTGAAACAGGTGAAATAAATCACTTGCGTACGTTTTAATTATATAGGTACAACACTAAACATCGATAAGTCAAGCGGCCCTAAATTACCGAAGGATCTCTAATTTGACATTACTAAAGGTGCGTCCGCGACTGCGCTCTTTGTGCGGCACTGCATTCAAACACAGTTCTACCGATCATCTTGAAGAGGAGCAGATCTCTGGTTTAGCCTGACAGATTATAGACGCTTTTGATACTCTCTATTACAAGTGAAAAAAATCGTGACATTTATTTCCACTTACAGAAAAATACTAATTGTAAGTTAAATTATTATTATTTGTTTGCGAAGGTACGCGACCTAGTTCACACGAACCTCAACCCTTCCATTGGAGTGTGCGTCACTTGTCCTAATATCTGCATAATCTCAAACTACTGTTATAGAGGCAGCTTAGAGGTGAGAAAGTTCCCCACAAGTCATAAAAACGGCCAGGAGGGGTCATTACTCGGAGGGTCAATCACGTGATCTTTTCTGTAGGTTACCTAGCGGCCAACGGAATGTGAAGTTGTTGTCTTTTGAATTAGCGCGAAAGTACTAGTTGAGGACAATTTTAAACGCCTTCTACTGGAGACGGGACCCCTAATTTGTCTGGTCATCGGAGCTACTGGAAAGTCCAGCGGTTTGTGGGGCAAAGGTAACCTCCATTTGTCAGTTATTTTAAGACCCTGATTGTTGGTCTGGCCCCGCCGCCACTTCCCACTGTGCCGTCAATTAACGCTTCACCGACTGAGCTAGTCCTGTCACGCGGTTGGAAGAATATGAAAGGGTCTGAAAGTGACAAAGAGTAAGAACAGCGTTAAATTTACGTTAACCATGACTGATTTCCTTGGAACGTTTTAACGTGGTCTTCTTTTCAGGAAATATTGGCAAATGATAATATCAAACTTGACTGGTTCTTTCGTGCATCCTTTGCTCAAGACATTGCCATGGTAATTATTCAATTTAGTGCTATAAAACCCATTTAACATCATTCAAGAAAAGAAAACAAGGAATATTACCTTAATTGATTTTCCTTGTCACTGTATATAGGATTAGTAGTTAAACTGATAAATTGTAACTAAATCAGACTATAAGATAATCGAAGCAGCCCACTGTTCCTCTTAGTTTCAACAATATTAAAGGAAAACTACCATCATTAAAGATTGCGATATCGTTGCATCTTTTTAACGATAGCAATTTTCAAATTTCACCTAGGGAATGTCTGCGTTACATGCCTCTCCCTTACAAGTGCATGGTCATCTTAGATCATCCAAGTGTTTGATTGACAGCCGGTGGGTGTGTAAAGTGTCGGATTATGGTCTGCACCTTTTAAAGTCTGGTCAAAAGCCTGAAGATGTTAGCGAATATACTGAATACCAAAGTAAGCTGAGAGGTTTGAACAGTTCAAATAATCAACTAACGAAAAAAAAAACTGTTCATGCACCCTTTCCCAAATTTGCATTAAATTCGTTAAGAGGCAAAAAGTTGAAAAGGAAAGATTAACCAAAGCATCTTTAACCTTCAAAACAACAGAACCCTTTGCGTCGCCTGATCTGTCGTCATATATGTACTCTAGTTGTGGGAATTCAACACAAAATATCGCAGAACTAAGTTAATTAATCACGATTTTTTATACCTTATCTAGCTATTTAAAATAATGAGTGAAGCTAATTCCGAGACAGAATAGAAAATGTTAAATTTTTTGGTTAATAATAAACAAAACCCAGCCAAACCTCCATTAACGGGACACTTGCTTTGGTCCCGAGGGTATCCCCTGAATAGAGGCTCCAGAGTACATCATTTTCCGAAACAGGTCAGTCCGTCCTTCATATATTTTAGTTTTAAAACAACAAAAGTAATTTCTCTCGCGGAGTTTTAACATCAATGGAAGGTCCATGATGATAAGCTGTTACATGCGTTTATTAAAGTGGAATCAATGCAAAATGTACAGTTTTTTCCTCATCTTTCGAGCTGACCGCTCCCCCACTTTGTAAATTAATTATGGTAACAAGTTTATATGCTCCTGAATGTAACTGTAATTTTAGGCTTGCAATTCTTACTATTAATTCGTAATTTGATTTGTGATGCGCATTTGAGCATCCATTGGGAATTAGCACACAACAAATTGTATGTTATCTTCATCATTGTCATCATCATCATTTTCATTTTCATTATCGTTATTATCATTATTACTATTATTATCTGTTTAGAACTTTTTTGGAAAGCACCAGAATTTCTTGGGGAGGATGTAGATTTACCATTTTCACAACCAGGTGATGTGTACAGTTATGGAATTATCCTCAGCGAACTACTCAGTAGAGAGATGCCATATTTTTCATATAATATGAGCCCCAAAGGTAGGTTCTTTATACCATTATATTTTTATCAGTTTATGATTTCAGTAAAGTTTGTTCTTGTCTTTCTTTTCATTCATTATTGTCAAATTCATTGTCAAATTCATCGCACAAGTGTGGAATATTTTACTCGCACATGCTCGGATTGGCTAACTCCGAAGGTGGCGGACGAATTATTTATTATCCTAACAAAGTATTTTCTTTAGCAAAGGATACTCGTGAGACTCGTGAGCCCCGAAGTCGTCTCATTTAAACGTTCGCAAATGATCGTACTGGAAAGTCTGACACCATTTTTCCTCTTTAGATATTATCAAACAAGTAGCAAAACAGCTTATTCCTCAATTCAGACCTGAATATCCGACTGACATAGCGGGTGACAAAGGCGTCATTCGCTTGATGCAGATGTGCTGGGACAACGACCCTCTTATGAGGCCGACATTTTCGGAGATAAAGTCAAAGTTGAAATCACTTAATCGAGGAAAGTAAGTCTCTTCGTTCATCACAACTTCAATGCCAATGTAAATAAGCCTTAGACGCAGTGCAAAATATTGACCAGTCCAGTTCCCGTCTGGATTAAAATTGTTGTTACATAAGTCATGATTCAGATCTAGGCTTGTGTGACGGATGCTATATTTATATTTTACCTGCGTCATATCCGTAACCTGTCAGAATTTATGTTCTTCGTCTAATGCCAAATCTGCCCAGCTAAGCGTATCACACCTTCCTTCATATAAAAGATTTTATAAAATTTTCATTCGTGAGAAAACGTTGTAAGGCTAGCTCCACCCCCCAAACCTCACCTCCCTATTGCAAAGTGGGCTAACCCATAGCACTGAATCGAGTGCTGAAAATGGACGAGTCCATTAAGTGAAACTAGGCCAAGATCTAGGGGATATAGTATTTAATAAATATATCTTGGAAATATAGTATTTGTATAGTGGTATCTTCAGAACTAATAGTGTTGGCGTTTTGACTCTGAAGCAAATAATGGTGGAGCGATGTAATGTTTGCGTCTCCTTTCTTCAGGAATTCTAACATTGTTGATAACATGATACGCATGATGGAAAACTATACAGACCAGCTTGAACATCTTGTGGACGAGAGAACAATGCAACTGGCGCACGAGAAGGCTAAAACAGACGAACTACTTTACAAAATGTTACCAAAGTGAGTACAGTAACTCTTATAGTTTTTAAGGTATTTTCAATTTTTGTTTGACATGTAGAATTTTTCATTTTGTACTTGATTCATTAAAACGGTTTTTAAAATGAAATTATTGCGCCTCCCTGATTTTGAATGCATGTTTATGACTCAGAAATCCTTTTTGTCCATAGCTCGTGTTTATGTCTAGATTTGGACCCTTGGGATATAATTGTCTTTGAGCCTGATCGCCATGTAAATGTACTTTGTTGGCCCAGATCGTTTGGCAATTTCACGACGAAATGAAAATCCAACATGGCAAATCTTACTGAGATGACAGACAGTTTAAGTCACGACGTAATTCCAGGCCACATGACGTCATCTGGAGCCCTTATGCTTAAATATTGACAGCTAGGCTCACTGTCAGAGCTCAAAATTCTAGGCCGTTTTTTTTCGTTCTGCCTTCTATCCCCTGTTGTTTGAAGATTGTTCAAAAAGCTAATCACTTCGTCGGCTTTTGAATAATTTCAGTTCAAGTTTATAATTTAATTTATGGCCAACACTGTCCTTGTTTATGTTTAGGTCAATTGCAGAAGACCTAAAACAAGGAAGATCTGTAACGGCTGAAAGTTTTTCCAGCGTAACAATTTGTTTCAGTGACATCGTGGGCTTTACTTCCATGGCCGCCCAATGTACACCAATGCAGGTAAAATAATCAGAAAGGGGTTAATTTACATGCCGGGTCTTAGAACCTTATTGCACAGTTAGCTTCCATCCTTTCCGTTTTTGTGCAAGTGAGGTTAAATAACGTTTAAGAGGCTGGAAATGGTTTTATCAACTAAATGCGCGCGTTTTGCACTCAATCAAAATGTAGCTAACAAATGTCGCAACACCGGAAATTGAATACTGACCAAAAGCGCGTGAACTGGAAATCAAACAAAGTTTATTCAGTGATCAGCCGTGGTCATTTGCATACAAGCAATCTGTGTCATCTTATTTGCCATTTTCACATTTCCATAATACACCTTTTTTGTCCCCAAAACTTTGCACTCATAAGCATTGTCTTAATTTTCTTCTTGGGACCACTAAAGGCAAACATTATGATGCAATTTTTGGGGGGGCGGGGGGGGGGGGGGNGGGGGGGGGGTGGGTGGGTTGTGGGGTGTAACTACCGAAGGCGACTTTTCTTTATGGTATGTGACAGCATTCAAACGCAACAACAAGAATGGATGTCGATGAAGTTGCTATTAATGACTTTGTTAAATCGATAGTTGGTTTAAACTGAAATTAAAATATAAAATAAACTTACAAAATGTAAAACGGCTACAAAGCGACAAAATAAACCGAAAATGAAACTAAAACACGGACTGAAACGTACATTGTGTAGCAGTGTAAACCATGAAGAAAGTAAACTCTGCCGATACAGGAAAAAACTGCGCGATGTGCACTCCACTAGGTGAAACTTAAAAGTGGCTAAAGTCTGGAACTTAAACTTAACTAAAAAAGGTAAAAAAAATAAAGATGCAAATGAACGCACTACTTTTCCCAAGGGGGGCTGATTAGAGGTGGCTACTGTTCTTGGGTGTTTGATACAATAGGAGGGGGTGGGGTGGGGAAAACAAGGTGTATTATGGGAAATAAGTAAATTGGAGAAATCTGAGTTTGGGTCGTATAGATGCCACATAAAACTGAGAGAGGATGAGTCATAATTAATAGTTAAGTAGCTTGTGAAATTACTTTTATATTGCTGACTGATGAGAGGTTCCTTTAATCATACAAAATTTCTTCTCTTCATCACATTGACATTTTTTCTAACATTCAGTCATTAAAAACCGAGCCCGAAAAGCACTTTAGAAAGTAACACTTTTGAGGCACTTTGAACCATAATAATTATTTCGAAGTCGTTTTCTCGTCATTTGTGATTGTATATCTATTAGTAATTATGGACGGTAATGACAGTAAATGAATGAATAAGGAAATAATTATTGCTGATCGCCAATAATTATGCAGGGAACCATACCAAGTTTTCATCTTTTGTCTGAATTGCAGGTGGTGCATTTTCTTAACGAGTTATATACCTGCTTTGACAACATAATTGATGCACATGATGTTTACAAGGTTTGAGTCTAAAATATATTTCTATTAGTAAAGGTAATAGCATGATTTGTAGTGATATTTGGCATAAATACCACAAGTGATATTTCAATATTGTTATACGTAATTTCACCAGCCGTTATGCGAGTGAAATTTGAGACAATTTTGAAATATCACGAGTGGTATTTATGCCAAATATCACGTACAAATCCTGCTATTATTTGTTTATACTTCTACCCGCAAAAGGTTTGTAATTTTCACATGTAGGTGTTTCAAATTAAGCTGAAACACCACTGCTCTAAGCCAATCAAATTGCAGAATTTTCTCATGTAGTAATATAACTATAAATATATTACTATAGCGTATTCTTAACAGATACGACGAATAGGTCAGTGTATCTGGTCATATAGCGTAACAAACACCTCCTTTGCACACTGCTCAGTTTGTAAATTGTCGATTTGTACGAGAGCATTATCGTGTACGTCCGATCTGCGGTACGCGCCGCGCTGTTCCAAATACTCTTTCAACTCAATCGATATTTGACCGATAAAGTTCTCGACATTAGGTAAGCGTCTCTAAAATATGGGATAGAGGTAGGGATAGGATAAAAAAATCAGGAGATTTTGGTCTAGAGAAGGGTATCATTTATGGCAAATTGCCCATGCAGTAGTATGAAGTTGAAGTTGCTGTTTCAAAAATTGAATCTGAGTCTGGGTAAGGGTAGGGATTTTTGGTGCCTAGTCTAGAATAAAGCATGAAGCAGAATCGCAGGTTTAAATTCGTTTATGGGAATCGAAATCAACTTTGCTTGGGAACGTACGCTCCCTGTATGTATTTCCAAGTGTACCTCTCTTGGTAATAGGTTGAGACAATTGGTGATGCATACATGGTGGTATCTGGTTTGCCTGTTCGGAATGGTAACAAGCATGCGGGAGAGATAGCTACGATGGCGTTACACCTCCTGAGTTTCACGAGAGACTTTAAAATCCAGAATCTACCCAATAGCAGACTTCAGCTGCGTCTAGGAATTCATACCGGTTTGTTGATTTGCTTTTTCATCAGAGTTTTTACTCAATATGAAACATCTTACATATCATTATTTCTCCGTTTCCGTGTGGCTCAACTCTTCCAGGTAATCCTCCATAATCAGCTAGTGTTGACCAAATTTAGAAGATGCATACTTGCCGATATTGACATACGATTAACGATTGACGTCAGTTGTACTCAGGATAATCGACAATGAAGGGGCATACGGCGCGCTCTCTCAGAGATGTTTTGCCACTGTAGAGATACAAAAATTTCAGTGGGACAAAGATTTTCACGCGTCATGGCTCAAATTCAAATACAAATATATGTACATTCACCACATCGACAAAACGGCCCTGTATTAACAACATAAGATTCCTCTATCTCGGATTTGTTATTTATGCATATGCAAACAAGCTTATCAATAAAATACAAGAACCCTGTTCTAGTCCATCTCTCAGGCTATGCTTACTGCTTACGCCCGGAATACGAATAAGAAAAGCTGATAAGCAAAACGACTCTCTCTTTACTTATTTTTTGTATGCTTTTAAACTTAAACGTTTTCTTTCACGATTCTTTTTCAAGGCCTTGACTCAAACTGAGAGACCCACCACGTCTGTTGTTTTGAAAAAATCAGAGAAAGCAGCTGAGTCTAATTATAAGCTGATCACATTTTTCACCATGTGTAGACTTTTTTTTTTTCCTCAAATGTTAAATTATAGGGTCTTGCGTCGCTGGAGTTGTAGGACATAAAATGCCTAGATATTGCTTGTTTGGAGATACTGTCAATTATGCCTCGAGAATGGAATCGACTGGGCTTGGTGAGTGAATACTCTTAATTACGAGATTATAAGGGACTCTTCCACCTGTAGCGAACTCAACCAGGGCCACCTGAAATATAAATTTTATTGAGATACTGTCATTTTAATCTGATAACGAACTACACAAGGTATACTTTATTGTTGGGATCGTGACCTGATTCGTTGGGCAAGCAGCAGTGTCTTGGGCGGCCCCAATTGAATTCGGTGCACTGTTATCAAAGTTAGGCCCAGTTCAAACGTCGAACTTTTCAAATCATACAAGGTCGACGGTTGATTTGAATTTAATTAGTTTTCGAATTTGAATTTAATTATTTTCACGATGTTGACAATGATCTACATTGCTTCAGCTAGAGAAAAAAAATTATAAAGTAAGTTATGCATTAGGTTAGACACATGGAGAGTTTCATCGTTTGTAACGAAGTCGCTCCATATGGGCCAGTCGAACTTAATTCATGGGTCTACTCAAAATTAGATATGTTGGGCGACTTAACTGATTAAAACGTTGATCTTTTCGTTTACTTAATCGAAAAGGATTAGAATCGGTACATGAAAAGTTCGAACTTTGAACTGGACCTTGGGTTAATGAATATGATTAAGAATAATGAAAATGTACTTCTTTTGTTAATTATATTGAGTGAAACCCAGTGTTGTCTTAAACAAGATTTTCTTCTTCTTTTATTTAAAAAGTTAATATTTTCTTTGTTGATCAGCCTTAAGAATTCACGTGAGCCCAGAATGCAAAGCTGCGTTGGATCGTATAGGAGGGTTTTATTTGAAGGAGAGAGGTCCTGTAACTTTGAAGGTTGGTTGAGAAATAATGTGACCCCGCTAATCATCATCATCATCATCATTAAAACATTTCTCACTTCACGATTAAATTGTTTGGAAACAGCTACTCTTAATTAATCCGTCAAAGTTTTTGTGTGTTCACAGGGACCGTAAAAAGGCATTGTCTAGCACCTTTGAAAAACGAATCCCTTTTTTTTATTCAGATTTACAATGGGTATTTGGGAAAACTCATCATGCCTTTCCATTTTATCCCCTGATCACGAAATTTAAAGACTCTCGAAAAGCTATTTTTTTTTGGCATGGGTCCTGGCTTTGGTTGGACTGACTGTCATACTAGATCATTGAGCTGCTGTAGTTGTTCTCTTTTATTTTCAGGGAAAAGGAACCATTATCAGTTATTTCTTAAACGGAAAGGAAGGGTTCACTAAACCTCTACCGAACCTTCTAGATGCAGCACCCTTGTCAGAACATGAATTTAAACAATAATGGAGGAGCAAACGTTATAAACAAAAATGTGACACTTCACAGCGTATCATCATTCGACTTATCTCCCAAAATAGAATCTCTTTTACATAAGAAATGAAATATATCTTAATTAACGCAAAACGATGCGATATTACATAATTTATTATGGAAACATATTTATTATCAAAGCAGAGTTTACCAGACTGTAAATAAAAGTTATGCTATTTAGAAGTAAATTTGTTATATAAATTTTACTCAACATTATTAATCGCACTTAATCACCCTATCACAGTAATATTGGCATAGAAAATGTCCTCTTCTCTTGTTCCAAGAAACTCAAGAAAATTGACTTTCTTGTGAGGGGACTTAAAAAGGAAATAGATAAATCCATTAACAAATATGCAAATTACAAACAGATAAGCAAGTAAATGAATTATTTTAAATAAAGTTTATAAATTAAAACACAGAAAATGTGTACGTTTGTGATATTTTTCCTTTCCTTTCCTTTTTTTATGTTTTTATCTTATGGATGGTCTTTTTGGTTGTGCCGGGTATATACAGTGTAGCCTTTCTTCCCGGGATTTTACTTTAGTGTTGGGGCAAAGTATTCACGAATTCCTGATAAGTACATGTCCACACATAACGGCTTGGAAACTAAAATTTGATAGCATTTTGCTTTGAACGAGGGTATGGGCATGATTTTCAGTTGAACATGCCTAGCGAGCGTAAAAATTGCATTCAATCTGAGGATTAATGAGAGAGGGAAAATTTTATATATTTAGGCATGACAAAATTCAAGGGAACATTGGTACTTAGAAATTACATGTCATAGGCATGGAAAAAATGGGTTCATGCCCTCGCAACCCAAAATTGACTTAGCTAAACTTAGGTCCCAGATCTCTCGCCGGGTTGATAATTCATTCCCAGTTTTTGCTCGTCTGGTTTGGCATGCCGGGCATGCAGATCGTGCAGCCAGTGCCGCAGCCAGTTGGGTTTGCCATGCTCGGCATGCCGGGTATGAAATTGGCATGCCCAGCGTGACTGATTTTGATGTTCGCTCCCGCATCATATCCTGAGAATCACATGATCGCCAAATATATCTTAGAAGGTTGAAGTTACAGGCTTCATGCCTGGCAATAAATGCAGATTATAACAAAAAAAGTTATGTTCGACACAATGTATGTCACGGGATCGACTGGCAAAACTGAAGACAGAAGCCTGGATTTATAAATAAAAAGCACAACAAAACAACATTATTCATGCATAAAATAGAATACTTCACTTGCAATTACAGATCAATTAATCCTTTTATTTCAAAGCGATACTGATATTTCTGGGTCCAGATTTAAATTTGATCGCGGAAAAGCGTTTTAAACAATAAGATAACAAATCTTCTCCGTCAGTATAAACTTTATATCCATGCTTAAGTTCTATCGCGTCGGAATGTTTCTCGGTCAACAGCATTAAAAGACTGGTGAAAATTAAGCTTACCAGGACGTTCAAGTCAGTACGAGAGTACGACGTTAATACTGCAAAGACGTTCTGATTTGGTGAGTTTGGACTGCCTTCTCAGAGAGATTTTGCTTAGGTTTTCAGTGCGCTTCTTGTCGGCTATGCGAATTTTGCAAACTGTTTTACTCCTTGCTGACGATAGTCCTTTCAGCAACGTCATCTGCTCCATCCGAAGATACCCCGAGCTCGCACGAAATCGGCCGAATTTCCGCAGAAGTGTTTTCGGATGACGATGAATTTAGTTTGTTGTAGCGTGGCAGTTGTGGCGTCACGATGTCGTCATGTCTCTTCGCACTTGTTTGTCTTTTTTTTTTCCTGCGGTGCATGGTTGAGATGTTGGTGAATGCTGGACAAGAAATGGATTCTGCGAGAGACTGTAAGTACAAATTTAGTATTAATTTGGTAAAGAAAAAGCCTGAATATCGAAAAAATCCCGTGAATTATCCTTTTGGCATTCAGTTTATCTTGCTGTTCAGCATGCCTAAGAACTCTCAGGCATAAGTGGTTTTCAACTCGTTCACTTCGGATTGTTTCTGTTTCTACGTCTTGTAATCTTCTTCTGCTGTTAAGAAGACTAGAGGAAACTTCAAAAATATAGAAACCAATCACTTTTGGAGACAAAATAAAATATCCGTAAATCAAATGCCAAAATCAGATTTGGATTTCGCTTTAAAAAAATGAACATGCTGCAGGTGTCAATGCAAAGTTGTAAACAACTCAATAAGCAGTCTGTGAATGTGCGTTTAGGTCCACAAAACTAATTTTTCTTTTGGATGTCTTATCCAAGCAACCACTTATGCCTTACATTGCTTGTCTACGAGTGTACTACAAAATGCTTTACTACAGTAAGCCTTTGAGAGGCGATTCTGGTAAATTTATAGGACGCTAAAATGCAAAAAATTCTAAGCTTAAATAACCTGGCTGGGTCCGATTTCTGAATTACAAAATGTTCACGTTTGCCGGCTCTTCTTTAAATAAACATAGTTTTTGAAATGACTTTGTACTATTTTAACCCGAAAATTATGATTGGGTTATAAAGCTTTTAAAACGGACGAAAACTAAGCTAATAAACATGTTCAACGTAAAAAACTAAGATTTAGTCGCTTTTTCAACTTGGCTACCTTTACGCAAAAACAAAAGCAAGCAATGAGGCTTTTATTCGACATATTTTCTGAGAATTTTATCTGATCAATTTAATGTCTCTAGCATTATTTTCGTATAGGAATTTTCCTAATTATTTGAGCTTTTAATTTAATAATTTTGATACTTTATAAACTTCTCATTTGATAGCTTCACTTTTTTTATACACCGATTAAGAAACAAATTCGCTCTCGTTAAATCCTATTTTATGACCTATTTATTAGAACTCTAGGTAACATGCAAAATGATGTAACAGGACAGGCTTTAACCTTTGGTCCTAATGTATTTTTTCTTCACAACCCCCAGTAATCAGTTGACGGGCCATGAGAGAATATCGCCACAAAGATGCGAAAAAGTTTTCGATGAGTTTCCTTTACATATTCCTGCTTTATATGGGTCTACACCTTCCCTGCTTAAAAATGAAACTGTTGTTCGAGTGTCAGTCAAACTCGGGATAATCTTGACTTGCAAACCCAAATGCAAAGGTTTATTTCGCAGTAGAAGAGCGTGTAAACATCATCGAACAACGCAATGTAAATTGGCTAATGTGAAACCACGTTTCTTTCACTTTATTTACCATGCATTTATCTCAATTGCACACCTTGTGAAATTAGCCTCAGACAATTAGTTGCGACCTTTAACAGACTCAACAAGCCAGTATGAAAATATCTTAAGAGAAGCTGAGCTCTACACGTTCTATTTCATTTTTTCATATTGCCCTTGCATGTGTTAACATTCCATTTCTTTTTTGTTACAGGTAACTTCCAGACATGACGAGGAGATAATTACTTTTCTAGAGAGCAATTCTTTGATACTGTCAGTTATTACTGACTTATTTTGAGTTAAAAACAAAGAACACAGACTCTGGTAATGACACATAAACAATAATCCCTGGCAAGCCTACAAAACAAGAAAGAGGAACTCAGACTCCTTATCAAAATATGAAACAAGACAAAAACAGCTTTTCTAACGTAGGGAAAATTGCGTTAGAGAGATTTGTAATTGCAACGTTATATTCAAGCACATTGCATTGTCGAACATCATAATTTACTGAATAATGGACAGTGATTTTGGAGCTTAGCTCAGTTTGTAATGTAATGAACGTTGAAAGATATTCTATAACCTTGTATTTTTAAAAGCTTTCATGGAACATAGATGCATTTTATTATGCAAAGAAAATAGTCTCTGTCTCTATTTTTAATGATTTCAGTCAATTCCATTTTATTCGCAATGTGAAATGGGAATCCTATTAAAGACTCATTAAAAGGGGTGAGGCCGTTTTTACAATCCCCCAACAGGTCATCTCCACGATGACGCTGTTTTATTACTACGGCAGAATCCCTCAGGGTTTTACTTTCTTGTGAAAATTAGAGCTTTTGTTATTTAAACTTCGCTGGGACAACCAAATCTATAAAAATGAGAGGAATAGCAATGACGTCATCGTGTAAATGACCTATAAACCGTACATCAAACGATAAGTACTGTGATCTGTTTAGTTTTTTTTTTTTTAGCCAGGCTTAAAATATCTGTAGATTCAAGGAATTATAACCTGTGCGTTGAGAGCATGCCAGAGACCGATTTTGGCATGCCCGGCATGACCCAGATTATGGCACGCCCGGCAAGCCAGAGAATTTGGCATGCCGGGCATGCCAGGAAATTTGGCATGCCCGGCATGCCGGAGATTTTGCTGGGTATGAATTACTTATTACTAGAACCTAGGCTTCTCGCGGCCTGGGTGAGAAGGTCACGGAACCTCAAATTATGCTTACAGGGCATGCGAAATTCTGTTGCATGCCAATTTCAATGCAAAACCACTCTGGGGCCACCCTCTCTATTACCAGTGAGCAAATCATTGACGATAGGCATGGGAAAAATCCTTGCATTCTAACTAACGTTGAAAACGTAGCAGAAATGTCCTCAATTGCTGAGTCATGCCCTAGGGGAGGCTTTAAAATACAGAATTTCCTGACATGAATGAGGGAATTTTCCGTAAACAGCATGTGATCATGCCGGCTAGGACGTAATGCCTCCGTATTGCCCCTTTTTACAGCTAGCTAGGCTCATTTTTAGGTTCCATGGCCTGAAATGACGAAAAATTCATGCCCTAAATGTAAATAGTCCAAAAACGTCCTCGAAATTTTAGTTTCCAAGCCGTTACATGTAACAACATGCTGTTGGTTTTTTTTCAGTTTTTGTAACACAAGTGAATCGTAACAAGAAAGTCTAAGCTGACAAGACCACACGTGCAAACAGCTTTCAAATTTTTAAGATCTGGTAGTTTGTAAAATCATACGACTTCGAGTTCAATTTGGAACTTATTTGCACGAGTGTGTTTTTCAAAAAGTGTCATAATAGTCCAGTTTCGAGTT